CCTAGTTCCAATAGGTCCTGATTTCAGTTCCCATGAGGTTTTCAAGGGCGCTGAACATTTTTACTTAGAGTACCTACGCCATTTACATAGTACGTTTCTGATATAGCATAAGGGTGTTATATAACACGGTGTTATGAATATAAACTGTCCATATAAAAAACACTCTCAAGTCAAAATTTAATAACAAATTATAGACTTTAATCTAATATCGTAAATTTTTACTTTGAAACTTTTTTGTGTGGTGATTTAACCCTGGTTCTTACGGGTTATAGTGATGCAAGTGATTTAGATATGGATACAGGGCACAAATCCTATTGTAAAATTTCGGAAATTTCCATTTACACGTGACAATTTCTGGCCTGACTTTTTAGCAGCCGGAAATTCTCCATTCGTAAATTAATAAAATAATCAATGATATCATATGTAATAATTTTCTGTTCGTAAATTAATAAAATAAACTATCACTATTAATGATATCATATGTAATATATGTGTATATATAAATATTGAACACTATTATCATATTAATAAAAAAATAATTTTGATCAATGGATTATAATCAAAGTGATTATGAAAGTGACAAATATGAAAGCAACCAAAGTGGTGATATAATTATTAATAAAAATGTACAAAATTATGAAAGTAATCAAAGTGATCAAGTGGTGTCATCTTCTAATAGTGCAAAAAAAATTAAAAGTTATTAAGTCTAAATCTAATTTTCAAAACTCATGGCTTTTCAAATTTAAATGGCTTCAATATAACAAAATATCTCAACGAATATTTTGCAAATATTGTATGGTTCATAAAAAATTGAATGTTTTTGGCAGTACAGGTAAAATAAATATCAAGTTTAATACATATATATTGTTAACCATTATTATTTAAGAAATTCAAATCTATTTTTGGTAGGATTAATAAATTTTAACCAAAAAAGTTCTGTCAAGAAGCATGCATCTTCTGATCAACATATAGATACAATAAGACTTGAAGCTGCTAAAAATATAGCTAATGAAGCATCAACAAAATCTATACAAAAAAGTGAAGCACATGTATTGATGTTTAAAAATTGTATATTCTCTTGTAAGAGAAGATATACCACTATCAAAGCTTTTATATTTTGTTCAATTATTACGTGATTTGGGGTCTCTGTTTATTACAGACAGTTCAATAATATATGAAAATGAAATATCTGGATGTGAATTTGCATTGGCTATTTCAGATACAATTAAAGCTGAAATTTGGAAAGAGATTAGTAAAACCGTGTCTTTTGGAATCATGATTGATAAAAGTTCAGATATTACGATGAAAAAACATCTTGAAATTTATGTAATATATTCAACTGCCTCAGGAAATATTATAACACATTTTTTGCAATTGCTTGCACCTGATAAATGCGATGCAGAAACAATAACTACCATACTAGTTAGATTATTTCAGAGTTATAGTTTGTAAATATATCTTTGATATTTTTATTAAATAAATAAATATTTAAAGTTTTTTTTTATACGTAGATGTTATGGATAAACTTGTAGCTTTTGCATCAGATGGTGCATCAGTAATAATTGGAAATAAAAGTGGTGTCACTCAAAGATAAAAAATATGTCTATATCTTGTTTATAATCACTGCATTGCACATTATTAGGGTTCTGCATTTGATTTGATTTGATTTGATTTGATTCAAATATTTGATTTCAAATCAAATTCAAATATCGATT